GCGTATCAATCATACGCATCACTCCATAAGTTGTGTTTCATAGGATTCAAGTACGCGCTTGGTGTGACTCTAGGGCCCAACTTAAAAAACTCGGTAGTGGATTATATCCATAAGTACAACAGAGGTGCTAGCTACACATGAAGACCACCCGGGTATAAGTTATGATAAAGGTCTGCAAGATGCTTATTCAATTTTATCAGGACCACTCAATGATAATACCGTACAGCCCGGTCTTTTCGTCAAACCAAGTCAAACTATTGAGCCTAGGGTATGGCAAACTGTCAAACCCTAATAGCTTGATTAGTGTTTATTGATATTAAACTCATAACCTATAAGATAAAACTGACACTCAGTTTATCTTACTCACATTGGTCAAGGATTTTCAGGCTATAGTTATATCAAACAATCTTATGACATCAACCCTTATACTGGGAGAGACAAATCCCTTCTTGGCATCTCAATATCTACTTATGTCTTGGGATGTACCCAACAAGAACCGTTATGCACAATTCAATAAGAACTGTGTGCGCCTTACGATGCGGGGCGGTGGCGAAGCGCCCCACATCTGATGCAGCAGCGCCTTTTGCGCCTCGCGTACATCTGTACTTTGTGTAGGATGCATGTAGTACATTTCTTCATATAGTTTTGTTTGTTAACATTTTAATCGAGTCTTTATACTTGATATTCCATATCCCAAAAAGAAAAATAAATCCAATATGCTTTTTTAATAACCTTCAATTGAGGACCATTACTAATCCTTAGTTTGGATATGTCTTGATTTAACATTTGATTTGAAAATTTATGAAATTTGCTACTATGTTGGGTGTTAGCATTAGAAATTAAGGCAATATATTGTAAGTTTGTAGCAAGATATTATTTATCATGATATTTTTCATGTAAATTCTAAAAACATGTTCTTTCGCGCTTGATTACATATATTGAAATATTATGTGTGTGGTGTGCGCCTCGCATCACTCAGGCGCGCGCATAGCGTTACGCCTTGCGCATGTGCGCGTAAAGATGTTTTGCGCGCCGTATTGCGCCTCGCGCATTGAAAACACTGACTGTGGTTAGGTAAAAGTCTAAATACGTCTTTACTGACATATAAGATATTGCACCCATACCTCAGGTCAAGAGACTACAATGTATTATATCACTTGAGAACTTCTATTTGACAGTTAAGTATATTACCAACTAGATATTCTCGGCAAGTCGTTCAGTCAACTCATTCACTAATGAGTCGCCTATATACTGTATCTTGATGTCTCACATTAATGATCTAAGAGATTGATCAACTGCTTCAAAAGGAGAAATAGAGCATACACTAGTCTTAACCAAAGTGATGATGTCCTATCTCAACACTTCATCAACTAGGAACATTTTAGAATATACGTTACCGACTAATCAGATCTCTTCATTACGATCACTATCCAAAATGTCTGATAATCTAGTATTTATTCTAATGACATTATCTGTATTTTTAGAACATCAGATAAATCTGACCAAAATAGCATACTATCATTTTGAACAATGATGTTATATACATATAGGTCCTGTTACAATATACAATAATTACCTGCAGGGCACCTATATCTAACAAACTCTCACTTGTACTAAGGCCAATTATTGTAGTATCTAATACCCAATAGCTCAATAAGTTTCTCAAATTGTGAACAAGCAATTGCCTTTGTGAATGGATCTGCTATATTATATTTTATGTCTACTCTTTCAATCTTAATCTTCCGGCAATCAACTATCTCCCTGATCAAGTGATACTTCCTCAGAATGTGTCTGGAGTTATGATGAGATCAAAATTCCTTTGTCAGAGCTATTGCAGCATTATTATCACAGTATAAAGGTACTGGATCTTTAATGGTGGGAACAACTTTCAGCTCTAAAAGAAACTTCATCATCCAGACAGTTTCTTTAGCTGCATCATTGGCTGTAATGTATTCAGCTTCCATAGTCGAGTCTGCTACTGTATCCTGCTTTCTTTAGCTGCATCATTGGCTGTAATGTATTCAGCTTCCATAGTCGAGTCTGCTACTGTATCCTGCTTGAAACTTTTTAAGATGACAACCCCTCTATTGAGGGTGAAAACATATCCTGATACAGACTTACTATCATCGATATCGCTCTGAAAGCTTGAGTCGGAAAAAACCTCCATTCGGAGGTTACTTTTACCGTATATCAAAAATAACTCCTTAGTCCTTTTAAGGTACTTAAGTATATTCTTGACCGCTTTCCAGTGTTCTTCTCCATGATTAGATTGGTATCTACTTACCAAACTGAGTGAATAAACGATATCTGGTCTAGTATATAACATGGCATATATGATCGATCCTACTACGGAGACATAAGAAATTAGACTCATGCGTTTCCTCTCTTTATCAGTCTGGTGAGACATCTTTTTAGAGAGGGAGATTCCAGGAGATGCAGGTACGAAACCTTTCTTGGAATTTTCCATGCTAAACCGTTTTAACACTTTGCCAATGTATCTAGATTGAGATAATCCTAATATCCTTTTAGATCTATCTCTATAAATCTGAATACCCAGTATACATGATGCTTCACCCAAATCTTTCATGAAAAATCTTTTTGATAGCCAAATTTTTACCACTTGTAATGACGGTATGTCATTACCGATTAAGAGTATATCGTCTACGTACAAAATAAGAAACGATATTATATTCCCAATTATCCTTTTATACACACATGGTTCATCTGGATTTTTGATAAAACCACTCTCTTTGATAGCATCATCAAAACAGATGTTCTATCTCCGTGATGCTTGCTTCAGTCCATAAATGAATTTAAGCAACCTACATGTTTTTTCACTGCTCCCACTGATTACAAATCCCTCTGGTTGAGACATATATATGCACTCTTCTAAATCATCATTTAGAAATACAGTTTTGACATCCATTTGCCAAATCTCGTAGTCATAGTGAGCAGCTATAGCAAGTAGGATCCGAATAGACTTTAGCATAGCCACTGGAGAAAAGGTTTTATCGTAGTCCAAACCAGGTCTTTGACGAAAACCTTTAGCTACCAGTCGAGCTTTAAAAATCTCTACTTTCCCATTTGCACCCATCTTTTTCTTAAACAACCATTTGCAACCTATGGGTATCATCTCTTTAGGAGCATTGTCTAAGATCCATACTTTATTGGTGTACATAGAGTCAATTTCGGATTTTATTGCATCATGCCAAGCAACAGAGTCCTTACTATGAGAGTCTTGCTGATAACTCAATGGTTCATCATCATCTATGACGTGATCTAACATGCTACCTTCAATAAGAAAATCATATTGTCTCTTAGGTGCATGAAATCGCCTTAGATATCTGCAGAGTGGTTGAGGTTCTTCTGGTACAACTGAATTTTCTGTTTCTACTAAATTATCAGTATTGATTTGTATCTCTAAAATTTCTTACAATTCTACCATGCTCCCATTAATTTCTTTTTCAAAAAATTCCTTCTCCAAGAAGGTAGCATACCGAGAAACAATTATCTTTTGTTCATCGATGTGGTAGAATTGATATCCATGGTAATTCCTTGGATATCCTACAAGTTTACACAATACTGAACGTGTCTCTAATTTTTTAGGATCTTGCTTTTTTACATAAGCATGACATCCCCAAATCTTAATATAATTAAGATGTGGTTTCATCCCATACCATATCTCATATAGAGGTTTAGGCACTGCTTTAGTTGGAACCCTATTCAGTAAGTGTGCTGTTATTTCCAACGCATACCCCTAGAATAAAAAAGGTAACTCAGCATTACTCATCATGGAACGTACCATATCTAATAGGGTACGATTCCTCCTTTCTGACACGCCGTTAAGCTGTGGTGTAAAGGGTGGAGTAACCTGAGAGAGAATCCCATTCTCTTTTAAAAAACTGTCCTGAATTCCTAGCCTCACTCATCAAGAAGAAGCAAGTTGTTGCTTCATCTTCAGGTGCGTTGGTTACTCAGGATTATTTTTCTATAAATCCTACATCTTGGGTATTAGATACCGGATCAGGATCTCACATCTGTAATTTGTTACAGGGGCTGAGAAGTTATAGAAAGCTTGATGCTGGAGAGATGACCCTACAAGTTGGTAATGGTGCAATAGTTGCAGCAGTTGCAGTTGGGGATTTTCATCTAGCTTTACCAAATGGAAACATTTTGATTTTGAACTTCTGCTTAACACCCAAAAACCCATATCATCATTTACCAATATCATTATATCAGAGAACTTAAAAACTTTTTTATTCACCTTACACATCAGTATTAGACTAACAGTGTAAACTCAATTACAAATAGGGATATTTGCACTTTGGTACCCTATAGTTTACATTTTTAAACTTTGATGCCCAAAGTTTTTATTTGATAATTTGACACCCTAAATCTTACACTTCTTTTCCTTGATTACCCCAAAAAAAAAAATTTGACACCTTTGATACCCCAAAGTTTACAATTTTTTAAGCTTTGGTACTCTAAAATTTACATAATCCCAAAGTTTACAATTTTTTAGCGTTGACACCTAAAGTTTACATAAATTTTAACTTTGATACCCCAAAGCTTGCGGTACCAAGTGTCAAAAAAACAAAACCTTAGGCATCAAAGTTCTAAAAGGTGCAAATTTTGGCAAATCAAAGTCTTGGAAATAGCCCAAGCAATTAGAGTGTGAAAGTTAAACTTTGGGGTATCAACGTTACAAATGGTGTAAGAGTACCAAAGTGCGAATAGCCCAAGCAATTATGCCCGGTTAGCAAACTATTTCAAAGCTTCTACAGCCACTAATTTCCAGAGCTTCCATCAAGAAAAAAAATCACAACAATAGAAATATAACGACTATAATCTTTAAGCACGTCCACATTTATCTTCTCTTCACATGATAAAACACAACACATTTAAAAGGAAATAGAAAGATCAATCATGTGGGCATCTCACAACATTCGACAAAAATCAAAATCAGATAAAAGGGGACAAGTATCAAATCGAAAACTTACGACATGCCCAGCACTCGAGAATAGAAATCGAGGCTAACTTTAGGATCCTTGATTCTAAACATCTGCAGTCGAAAAAACCCCGAGTTACCTCAAGATCAACCCAAACTAAGAAAACCCACAAAGATTAAGACAAGAGGAAATCAATGGGTTTACAGTTTGTTGGAAGAAATAACCCTTGGTGGCCTCATCAGGCTCGGCTTGGAGACCTGGGTTGTTCGAGGGGGACTCTTTTGCCGCGGCCATTGAAGAAGAAGAAGAAGAAGAGAAGGACCGAGATGGGTTTAGTCTGAGAGCGTTGAGTGACGGGGAGATTGAAGGGAATTTTGAGGAGAATCGAGGGAGGAGGAGATTGCGAAGAGGCGAGATTAGAGGGGTTGAGGCCATGGACGAAGGACAATGACTGTAAATATATTATAGTTTGGGGCCGGGGCTCGTTGATGGAGTACGGGTTGATGATCCTGTGCATTTGGGCTATTTGTAGCCGTTGGATTATACGATGGTCCTCTTCTGGGACAAATTTTCATTTCCGACCCTGCCGAAAACTTAATTATCAAATTCAACCCACTTTGCACTTGATCATCAATTTCCACCCACAGGCTAAAACTGTGTCAAAATTGATGAACGGTGAGCACATTTGATGCTAAACTGCTCCCAGGATCATACTTGGTCCAACTGCAGCTTAGATCTGCATCGGCAACGGTTGATGGTTTAATAACGGTAAGGACAAATTTTTAAAAACGACCTTTTTTTCAAATTTAATAAGCAAAACCGACCGCCTAATAAAAAAATCGGCAAAATCGACCATTTTTTGCACGGGACTGCTAGTCCCGTGCAAAAAATGGTCGATTTTCCCAATAGATCACATTTTGGGTCGGTTTTGCTGCTCTCGTATTCCTCCATCGGCCTCACCAACGAATCCCCTCTCTCCCCCTTCTGCCACCTCCACCAAAGCTTCGCCCTCAACTCCTCCAGCCAACCCTCTCTCACGCCTCCATCTCCTCATCGTCGACGCCAAACTGCCGCCTTGACACCCATTCNTGCCGCCTCCTCCTCCCCCTCATGCCGCCCCATCGCCATCGTCTCCCCGCCACCGCTGCCACATGCCCGAAGTCTCCTCCATCCCCTCCTCGCCCGCTGCCTCAACCCTCCGCGCCGACCTCCATCACTCACAACGCCCCCTACAGTGCCTCTCCCCCAGCCGCACCATCTCCAAGCTCTGATCCGCCCTCAGCCCCACCTCAACCTCAACCTCTATCAGATCCTCCCTCGCCCAGATCCGATCGTCGTCGAGTTGCCGAGTTGCCGAGCTGGCGGAGGAGGCGGTGGGTGGAGGCTGGGCGCGGGTCTGGTGAGCTCGGCGGGTGATGTGGAGGAGCATGGAGAGAGATGAGGAGAAGGGGCTGAAGGAGAGCGTCGGGTGATTTATTGGGAAAATCGATCATTTTTTGCACGGGACTAGTAGTCCCGTGCAAAAAAATGGTCGATTTTGCCAATTTTTTCATTAGATGGTCGGTTTTGCCTATTAAATTTGAAAAAAGGTTGTTTTTAAAAATTTGTCCTAACTGTAAATGTTATCACCGAAATTGTTGTTGAGGTTAAAGAGTTACGTGTTTGTTGCTTGATCCTCTGTTGAAGGGATGATGCAGTTTCGCATCGAGTATTTATAGATCAGCGATGCTTTTTGGCTCGCGCTTTAACGTGCGAGCCAACTCGCACAGGAACAGGGGGTGGGCCCCCACTGGCACAGTGGGGGCCACCCCCTTGTTCCTGTGCGAGTTGGCTCGCGCGTTAAAGCGCGAGCCAAAAAGTGTTTTCGTTTATAGATGCTATCAATGAGCCACAGTTTATGATTAGCTGGCTAAATATCGAGTTTTGTTTGGGTTCAGGTTTGGCTCTTAGTTTCATGGTATAATCGCTGAATATGAGTTTTTGTTTCAGGTACTGATCCAGTTGTGTATAGGCGGAGATAGAATAAGAAGGAATATTTGTGTCATTATTCCCTCCAAAATATTTGGAAGGAGGGTAGTTTTATCTCAATTTGTGCAGGACTAGTTGAGGTTGTGGGTAGTTTTACGAAAGAGATTAACCTCAAAAGGGTAGCAGAATCTAAAATCCTAAAACAGTAGCAAACGAAGCATCATCCATTGCCACTGCATCCTTGTGTGAAGGAAATCAAACTTTCAGATAACAACATTGAGAACCTGTGGACCCAAAAGCATTGAAAAACCTATACTCTCCTTGAAACATCCCTTGAGGCCACAGAAACTAGCTCAAATCCTAGCATTAAATTCATTATATAAATTAACATGTTAATATTTCTGATACAAGAACTATGACCACTGCTAAAAGAAAGATATTCATTAGCACTGTCTTAGCAAAAGAAGGAAAGGCGATAAACAATTATGTTAAAACGATATGGATTTCGAAACCAACGCAACAAATAGGTTAGTAACCCCCCACCCCAGACCCAACAGGTTCTCCAGATGATCAGTGAACCTCCTCAGATGCTTCCAACTCTTTAAGAAGCTAAAAGAACCAAGAGAATGCTCACTGTCTCCCTTCTATAGCTTGCACTATTCACAAAAAGAAAAAAAAATCGAACGAAATAACATACAGCACGAATAACACATACAGGTTAAATTTTTGCATAATATTAATGCTCATGCTTGGAGCCTCGTGCTTTCAGAATTCCTGGAATTGGAGGCGAACTGGGAACTTTTCCTAGAGAACTGGGTCTTGTGGGTTGTGGCGTTTGAGATGGAAACATGCATTGTATGCTGGAGCTCTCTCCTAGATTTGAAGTGGGATCTTGAACGCCGTTATTTTGCTCTTTGTCACAAAATCTCATTGCCTTCAGAACGTATGAGTCGTCGTGCAACTCAAAAGGTGTACTGTAAATGAGATTTGAGAGGGGATATTAGACAGTAGAAAATAAAAAGATTAGCAGCCTTGAATGAGAGTAACACCCTATAGGCTAAGAAATAACATTAATAATAGTCAATATATTTTAGAGAAGACAAGAAATTGGAAAGGCTACACAGTTTGTTCACAGGCACTATCAAATAGTTTGATTCCTAAAGGTTTCAATTATAGCATCCAAACATGTTTTCGGGAATATTTTGGAAACAGTTACTAGTGCAAACATGGCAACAACTTTTCACGAATTTTCTATAAAAAAAAAATCAAACATGCCCTTTATAGAAACTTTAGCTCGGAAATGGGTTGTTTTTCCGAATAAAATATGAGGGAAGTGGTTGAGGTTTCCCAAAGCTAAGTTTCCAATACTAATTTCTTACTAATCTAGCAAAGAAATTTGAGTAAATCAGTTTCTTAAGTTCAAATCCCTCTTTTTAACTTTCAATCCAAACTATAAATGAATTGGAAATCAAATTCTAGCATGTTCTTTAGGGCCCAAAAAAAAAAGGAAAACTATTTGTGCAAAATCCAAGGAAAAGAGTGGAAATGGCTTCCTGGGGCAGAAACTGATTTCCTGTATTTGTTGGAAAACAAGCAAACAGCTTTATGCCATGTTTGGGAGTTTACTAGGGGGAGGGAGGAAAGGAAAAAGAAAGGTAGAGAAGAGAAGGAACATATAATATCTTGTTTGAGAGTTTTGTAAGGGAAATGAACGTAAACTTAAATTATGTCATTTGGGAGTTCTAATTAGGAGAATGGAAAGAAAATAAATCAATCTTGGCCATTGATTCATTATGATAGAGGGTCGGTCAATATGTCTCTTTCATTAAGAACTTTTACTTTCCTTCTCTTCCCCTCCATTACCACCCAATTTGAGGGTGAAAGAAATCATAGAAGTTTTCATGAAAACTTCTCCTTCCTTCCCCCTCTTTACCCTCCCAATAAAACTCCCAAACGAAGTAAAACTTAAAATTCTTTTCCCTTTCCCTTCTTCACCCCCCATCCAAACACGACACTAAGGTTGTGAGTTAAGAGGAAGATGTTGGGGCTTTGTCAGGTTCGATGCCTTCCCAGAACAAAGATTGCTAGTGTCTTAACCTCTTAAATTAAATAGATTAGAATGTCAACAGGACATGCTGCACTAATAAATTGATAAACAAAACAGCTGTAAACAGTGGAAAGAGTATCAAGAGGGGCAGCAGGAGAATTGGATAGATATACAAATAAAGCAGCAGTAAACTTATAAAAACTATCTGTCAATACTGTTTTACTGGTGTGAATTTCACAAGACCACCATGAACAATTAGGAGAGTCTTGCACAAAACTAACAAAACTTCTTTTTATTAGAGAAAATATCACTTACAAGCAGTAGAAGAATGAATACCCATAGTATAATACATATCTACATATTATATTATAGTATGATATGTATTATTAATTAATAGTATTAAATATATTATTAATATATTAAAAAATATAATACAATAATATATTACGTTACAATGTAAGATACTGAATTATATATTATATTATATTATGTTATATTATATAACAAATATATAACATTAAATAAATTACCAATACACTATATTAGATATATTATATTAACACTCTTTAAACTTAAAAACACCAAACTCAAAACACCTTTTTGGTGTTTTGAAATAACTATGGTGTTTTTGGTTTTGGATGTTTTAGCCCAATAAAAACACCATGATTTCCAAATGTACAGTGTTTTCTTCTTGGCAAAAACACCATGGAAACACCTAAAACACCATGGTACCCAACACTCCCGAAACAAACAGCTGGAAAGAGTATAAAGAGAGACAGCAAGAGAACTGAATAGATAATACAAATAAAGCTGCAATAAACTTATAAAAACTATCTACCAATACTGATTTAGTGGAATGAATTTCACAAAATCACCATGAACTATTAGGAGTTTTGCACAAAACTAAATTAAACTCTTTTTATTAGAGAAATTATCACTTTCAAATCTGCAAAAGAATACTACATAGCATCTAACGCTTACCCAAAAATGTCAAAAATATTGTTCGAAAACTAAAATGCCCTCTAATAGCTAAGAATGTGATGAGGATAAGAGAGTAGTTAAGGATAAGAGAGTAGTTATATGAAGTAAATAAAGATAAAAATGTCAAACATAACTCATATATAGAACGTAACAATTAGAGATTATGATCCAAACATTAATTAACGCTTTTAAGGTAATAATTAATTAACAGAATTTCATGAATCATTTACCTGCGCAGATTCAATGATCATAAATATGTTAACTTCTCCTAATCGACAAATTGTCATCATCAAGAAGTTTAAGATCAAGCTCATGAAAGTACCTATTAAAATCAAAATGCACCAGCTGCATATCTTCTGATATTTCCACCTCAACAGTTGCATGTGGACGAGTCTGTACATCAATATGGAGGGTAGAAGAAAATCATTACTGCCATTTAGACTAGTCATTTCAATACAAATAAATCACGTAATGCAGTGCACAAAGGTAAAACCACCTAAAATGTTTCAATACAATTAACTGTGTTCCCTACATTTCTTGTTTCTTTCTCTTGTTCGTAACAGGATGTTAAGGGATAGGAGATAGCAAACCAACTTCACATACAAGACCTTTCAGAAAAAGGCAACGAGCACGGATAGCAGAATACATCATGTGATGGCAAAGTTTGACTTATGCAATCATGGATTACTATTTTGGCAAGATTGCAAAGCCAAATGGTGAATGTATGAATTATAATAGTTAGCTCAAAAGCTCGTGATACAGAAGGCTGAAAATAAAGAATTTGGCAATGGAGCAAATGCGCAAATATGTCTATGCCTACAACAAGCAAAGGTCAGGCAAACTGAAAGCATGAATATACATTTCCAGATCTCAACACATAAAGCAAACAGTGAAAAATTAACCAACCCTTGTTTACACTTATCATATTTAATAGTATTTATGAAAGTAACTATAACGAAAAGTGATGTAGCAATCAATTACACCAGTAGTGCCATGTGGTTTGTCAAGAAACAAGGAAGCGTATACAAGTCATAATAACAGTAATGCTTAGGCTTCGGAAAAAGATGAAAAAGAAGGGAATAGCAAAGCGAGGATACCTGAATCAAAATGAATGGCAAAGCAACACCACCTGGAGGATTATCTCCATACAGTTGCTCATTCCGGTGTACCAAGTTCTGGAGGCCTATGTACTTAATGAGAAAAAAAAAATTCAGGCTACAGCAAACTGATCCCTAACATATATTTAGCATGTGACAAATATCGACTTTATACAATGGTCTTCAAAATTCAAATGGTAACGTGGCTTTATGTACATGCATCCCAAAGGAATATTTGCATCATGTACCCATTCCCCTATGAATGTTTGTCAAAATATACAGTGAACTTGTAGAGAAGCAAGTTTGCATTTTAAGTAAACATTATACAGTATCATAACAAACCATGTAATGAAATGTGTATATATACTGTATACTCTTTAATTGCTCACAAAATTTATATGATTTACTCTCACCAATAAACCAACACATACCGCACATTTTAAGCAAACATTATATAGTATCATAACAAGCCACTGCCTCAGTAGATGGCTGAAGATATTTATCTTCAATTAGCCAACAAGCAGGGCTGTAACTTGGGGCAATGTTGAAAACACCCAACTGAACCAAATAAAATAATTTTTACGGGTTTCCTTGGGGATTTCATGCTTGGGCTGGGCTCTGGTAGCAGGATTCCAACACAAGCTCAGCCCATATCCAATGTCATTCCTTCCCAACCCCTCTAACCCGAATACAACCCAGCTTACATATATGCATAATATATAAGCTCTACATGTTACAGATTACATGTCCTTTAATATTAGCTTATAACCTCCACTAGTAAGTTTGGTTCAGCAAAATATGCATAAATTTGAATTAGCTTTTGATGATATTTCAGCTTGATTGCCCACTGCAGGCTCACTCACAGCTGTATCTTCCCACTCATATCACTACTAAAATGAATTAAGGTTACAGCAAGAATACATGGAAAGAGGTCTCATCCACGCACACAAGAACACATTCGTATGCCCATGCAGGTGTGCAGGCATAGCCACACATGTGTATGCATGCATGTAATTTAGCTGAATCTCTACTGAAAGGAATTAAGATTACAATTACATGCATGCATCACACAAATTGGTGATACCCTCATGCACATGCACATGCATAAATATGCTCTTGTCATGCACAAGTGTTCATGTGTATCAATAGAAGCATTAACATAGCCAGGTCCACGAGAGAAGAACTTTACTTGATCTTCGAGTTCTTGCAAATATGCTGCTTTCTTTTCGATTCTACTTTTCAGAGCAACACGTTCTGCCTGCAATGAAGAGTGGAACTAAGCAAATGAGCTTTACAATAGAAGGGAAAAAGGATAAAAATATTCAACAGAAAGAAACTTCAGAAAAATATTCAATAAACACACAATACACAAACCTTCAATTCTTCAATATCATTTAAGCTAGTTCGCGGTAAACCCTTCCATTGGATCTCTTTTTTATCCTTTGAGATGATATCCATTGCCATGAGAACATTCAGTGCATCATACACCCTCCTCCGTATGTTTTTCTCATCATACTGTTGCTGTATTTTAAGGAGGTACATCAATTAAAGCAACTGATTAAGAGAGATTTCACTGGTCAATTGACACTGTTCTACCTGATCTGGAGGCCCTATACCATTAACTGGATCTGCAAATTCAGCAACAAGTTCATCTGCGACCTATAAAAAGTAAAACTTCAAGGTTGAAAAGCATGAAAATAAAAAATCAACTTATTATTCAACAAAGGTGAACTAAATAATTGCTCGACCCATTTGGTATATGCTGGACAAAAAGGGTTTTGATTTAAGAAACATAGATAGTACAAATGAACAGCCAAGCACCACATCTGACAAGATTGTAATATGACCACAATAAGATATTGACACTTGAAAAGTCTAAGTCCAAAGTCCAAACCTGAAGTTAATATGACTTCAGCATAAAAATAGCCAAGGAGTAGTTCTCTATGATTGTATGCTTCAAAAATTCGACGCACAATATAGGAGGTTTGCTCATATCACCATCAATTCGGTGTTAGTAAATATCCTACAATCATACCTATGCTTTGGATCATCAAATTTGAAGAACTGTATGCATAAATGCACTGAGAAGCTAATATATTTTACTGATTATCATGAATTAATATCAAGTCTCTGCCTATTTAAGTTAAAATTGTTTTGTATTAATTTAAGTGAAAACTCAAACGTAATATGTTAAACATGTATCAGACGGCTGTATTGCTCCTCTCCAATAGTAATCTCCAATCTCGAACATACCTAGTTCCCAATGGAATTATAAAACATACTAATTGTTGATGCTTTCAAAGGGGTACTCTTAGATGTAACCTGAAAATGCTTTTAAAAGCAGTTTCTGCTATTTATAGTTTTAATATCATATATAAACCCTTTAGCTTTTGACATAATTAGTTTATCTATTCTAAAATTACCTTGTCTATTTTGATAGCTAAAGTTATGTCTACTGTTGTCATTTTCACTTATAATGATCTTTGAACATAATTTTACCAACAATTTTACCAAACACCTTGCCGCTTTTGGAATTAGCTTATAATATATAATTACCAGATAGCTATTGTCAACTATCGTCAGTAACTTATATAAGTTGCTTCTATAAGCTGCTTATATAAGCAAATTAACATAAGCTCCAGTAATACCAAACTGACCTTAAGTCCTTTTCTGATTTACTGCTTGCAAATCTCATACTTATATATATACCATACTCCTTAACTATCTGAATTACTATGTTAAATGTTTATAGGACCTTCCAATAGTTTGAAACAAGATTAATGAAAATTCAGATCTTAGCAACTTACTTTGCTGGTGATGCAATGAGCAATAAATACCTCCCCTTTTTATAAGCCCCGTCATGATAAATTTAAATTATTTCTTTATTTTGGTTAGAATCATTAACCAAAGAAATCAAAGAATTCTGTTGAAGATTCGAGTAATTAAACGTTTTACAAGTGCTAAACTAGATTTATTGTCATAACCAAAAACTTCCATAGGTTCGTAAAAAATTGAACCATTTAAACCACAATTATGAGCAAGTGCATAAATATACTCCTGAAAGAGTAGCGGATATAGGAAGTGTTGTTGTTGAGGTCTATACTTTTCTAAAATATCCTTGTAAGTCTTCCATTGACTTAGATTTTTTCTACTTGACTTGAACCAGAAATATCTTCATTCATTTCAATGAAGTATCACAAGAACAAAATTGATTGTATATGGATCATGCAATTGAGTTCTAAATAAGACTTATTTGAATCTCGAGTTCCAATTGAAATTGTACCCAGAACCTCATTTTCAGCTTTACATTCCTTTTGGCTTGTCATCCTCCAAGAATATTCTGCAATTATTCTGGCATATATTCTTCGTTTCCTTGAATCAATTACCACTACCCTTATAGACAATCTATGTAATGTGCTTCTTGCAATACAATTCTCAACCACATCAATGGAATTTGCATTGTCACGCATGAGAGATATTTAAGAGTGATACTAATATTTTCCAATGCCATACCAGGTAAGTCAACATGATCTTAACATGAACCAATGGGATGCGGACACATGAATATCACTAGATTTCCATATAATCGCATCTTACCCCATGTGACAATATAGACCTGCTTTTACCTACACATAAACATGAGACCGCGTGCGTGGGTGTTTGTGTGTTTGGGCTTGTATGTATGTGTATTATCATAGATATTTTGAGTCCATAATATATTGAAATCTGTGTGTGTGCACGCATGTGAAAGAAGTGAAAAGCAAGAAGCCAAGGTGGTAAAAATATATATCAACCTACGCAGATAGAGTAACTGAAGCTGCCTATTCAACAAGTGTTTACTTAGGTATAAGTTACAAAACTTATATAATCTGAGTTACTATCATGCTTGTAGTTGTCGTGAAATGACATGAATATAGCTTGTTTTGATTTATTAAGCTATGATAGAATACTTGTCTTGAAAATTGCCTCTACCAATCTTGCTATGATCCAAAGCTCTCTAAAAATTTCCAACCCTGTCATAGAGGAAGCATGTGATAAATGATGGGATCTGTTTACTTAGCAAGACGGAACAATCAAAACCAAGGCCCTCATATACAGAAATAATTCGATTAGGCAGAGTTAAGAAGTAGAAGGTTTGAGCATCAGAAGGGAACATGATGAACCAATATAGAACCAAAATATTAAATAATAAAGGAAAATAGGACCAATCTGACCTCATTGTAAGTTGTTCTCCCCTTGCTTTCCACTTTTTCACAGACTGCACATAACAATAAGTATGTTAGAAATGTGCAAATAGCGTCTTTTACTAATATTTGAAATAAGTTGCAAAGCAGCATCATGGCCTCATCTGGTAGCATAAGCTACCCACTGTCTGCCAAAAAAAGATAAAAACTGAAACTAATGAAGCCTTTTGGGCTTAACTGTTAGAAGTTAACAAATAGAAATAGTGCTTTCAGTCACCTTTCATGCTGAATTGCCGAAGGCCCCTGCCGCTTTTATCACCTGCAACAGCTCGTGTTCCCCTCTTTTTCTTTTTGCCACTGTTAAAAAGATTCTTAATTCAATATTAATAGGAAATGTCAACAATCTAAAATATCAATATTATAAAGCACATGTACTTTCGCGGATTTATATATATTTTATCAAAAAGTTTCCTTTGAAAAGTAGAACATAGTTCTACAAATAAATTCCTCCACCAAATAAGAGGAAAATTTATATTGGTCAGAAGAAAAGAGTAGTGAAGCAGCATGACGACCATGGAAAAGTAGTACTCTTTTAGATTGTTATTGCAATAACTTCGTTGACTACGTAGGAATGTAATTCACCAAGATATTATGCATATTTGTCACAATTGTTCCCTTAACCTGCTCTTTTCTAAACGTTATTCCATGGTGGCTAGCAAGTATATGCATCATCTTACAAAATAAGAGTATATATATCATTGTACCCAAAAAGAAAGCCATCCTTAACAAGAAAAAGATTAAGAAGGAAATAGAGTAACTTTGAAGTCCATATAGTAGTTCGATCAATATGGAAGCCCCTTAGACTATTATGAATAAGTCTAATCTAAAGGCAACACCTCAAGAAAGAAGGCTATATTTTCACTGCAAGTGTGATAAATCAGATTATACCGGCAACTGATCTTAAACATCAAATGATTAGACAGATTTGCAGGCTTATCCATTTTGTGCATAATAGTATCCCTATCCTAGTACAATTATGTAGATCATGCAATGTCTTGAGGGTGAAAAAGATACATAAATCTTGTTGTTGTCCATATAACAAAAATAGTGGGCTATCTTTGATTCGAAATTCGATCCGTTTCCACCCTTAATCATGGCTATCATCCATATTGCAAAAAAGTTTCATACAATTGCAACAACCAGTCCAGCTCTTTTACAATTATATCAAAAATTAGTAAAAATTGTAGCAACTTTCTAATTTTCTCTAGTCCCTCACATATATTTTCCAATAAACTCTCAGCATATCAGACTATCAGTGACCCCTAAACTGGACATGCTCATCATTTCCTCTGATAAGCCAAGACGCATGCTTTAATCCAATATCTATTAGATGCTAATTTACCATGATCATTTTCCGAACAGGTTATAAAGTCAGAAATTGCTTGCCATATCACCTTTATGTAAAGTTCACAAGTTTGTGCGGGATAAACATACTAGTATCCACCCTCAGACGAGTAAATTGTGCATAACTCTCTAGCCAACCACAAAATTATGCATAGCCCTCTAGCAGCCACAAAATCCCATAATTATCATCCACTAAGCAAAGAATCAAAATTTATGCAACACCATTTGTTTGAGTTGCTAAAAAAATTAGCCGCTAAACTCCACAGGTATTTAGTAGAATCAACAGTTCATCTACCACTTGAAAAACAAGAGAAGACACCGTTTCAATTTTCTCAATTCACCAAGAACTTAATGATACACTTTACAAAATTATCTACCACATTCTTTTTCATCAAATTTCACAGTTCATCTATTTTAAAAATTCATGAAGCTTATGTAATTATCACCATAAACGAAAAAAAATCGACAACCAGCAAACAAAAGAGTGAGAAAAATTCTAGTCATCGAAAAGTTCCAATATTTCCTCCACGGAATCATAAATTTTCGTGAAATACTGAAAAACATACTAAAATTAACCCAAATTATACCAAACTTTTGTTGCGCGAAGCGGAAACTGAAGCAGCAGAACGAAGCAAGAAGTTACCTGACCGCGGCTTGAGAGGATCCAGCATCATCCCCTTGGAGATCGAGCTGATTCACCCTGATGAAGGTGCTTGGCCGCCGGAGATCGCCGGAGTCCCCCACGACGACCGGAGCTTCGACGAGTTGGCGGGGCTCTTGTTGGCGTCATCGCTCGCGCCAATTACCATTGCTGCATCGATCAATTAAAGTGAGAAAGTCGAAGACGAAGAAAAACCCTAAGTTTGAAGGAGAAAGGGGGAGAAAAGGAGGGAGGAGCGATTTTATTTTCTGGGGGGATTTTTTTTTTTCGGTGATTACTGCGGTCCAGTTAAACGCACGAGGAAGTGCACTAATTTTATGACGAAAGCACCCCTTGAGAGATCCCCCTCCTACTTGTTAAATAATAATAATAAAAAATTTGTTCATTTAAAGTGAGATTTAAGAGAGTAAAGTTCAGAATAACTGAAGATTTGGGTGATCTTGTAGAAATTTTACTAACGCGAGGGACTAATTTCATAATAGATTAAGATTTGAGGGACCTAATCTCAGAGTATGAAACATTAAGGGACTACTGCGGAAATAACCCAAATAAGAAATAAAGGTTAAAAAAAAGAGGGTTATTAAAAGCCATCTCTGCTGCGGCCCACCTATCCAAGGCCCAGCCGAAGCACAAAGCCAAAGGCATATTGGAGTTGGGCCTCAACAGTACCCCATATGGCCCAGCAAAAGAAGAAATTTTCACTGTAGACTCATTCCCATATTTAATCCTTAACACCGACTCAGTTTAAAGTTATTTATGAGAATCGACCCACTTTGAATTAATTACGGTACTAATTAGTCGGGGTTGCAACCCCGACTAATTAGTAGCCTAATTAGCAGCCGCAAACCTTCCTTGCTCCCTGACCCGCTTGCAACCCCGACTAATTAGTAGCCTAATTAGCAGCCGCAAACCTTCCTTGCTCCCTGACCCGCTTGTAATTAGGCTACTAATTAGTCGGGGTTGACAACCCCGGCTAATTAGTATCGCAATTAACTCAAAGTGGGTCGATTTTCATGAATAAATTTAAAGTGAGTTGGTTTTAGGGATTAAATCTGGGATTGGGTCTACCGTGAAAATTTCTTCCCCAGCAGAATGTAATAACGCAATGTATACCTCAGCTGCTCGCCACTCAAACAAAGTTACGCTTGCAAAGACGGACAAAAATAAAGCTCTGAAGTTGATAGGATATGCAAAAAGGCTTACACAACTTTTTTCTCTTTTATTTCTTTCGACTTTATTTCTTTATTTTCTTTTTTGCTGCACTCCGCTGTCTTACAACTTTATTCACTAGGCAACATCTATGCAAGTCAAAATTAATCTGTCCGTAAGTATAAATTTAAATTAAAAAAAATAGTAATCAGAATTTTATTAATATCTTACACTATATATGTTTGGGAGTTTGCAAGAAAAGAAAGATTACACTGTTTTTGCATCACAACAATAATGTATACATAGTTTACCTATCGAATTAATAGCCGTGACCAAACTTCTAACAAGTCCCACATTAGCTTTACATTATTTAAACATGTATATGATGCATAATATGTATCCGATCACGCTCTATAAAGCCATCTAGATGCACTGAGTTTTTGGACATGAGCTTGGCTGACCATGGTCCATGTGTATAAATTTTTTCAAATTTTCTTAAGCTCCTTTCTTCAAATGGGAGATTAAGGGGCTGTTTGGTTCGTTTCCTTGATATAGAGAAATGCAATTCCATGTAAAGAAACACAAGTTTTGAGTTTTCCAAACTTTTCCAAGAAATAGATTGTTTTGCTTTGGTTCGCACATAAAAAATGGTGGGAAACCAATGTATTTATTTTTCTTGTGTTTGGTTCGCATAGAAAAAAAGGAAAACTTTTGTAAACAAAGCAGAGAAGGAAAAAAATCCGACGTGGCAGAGTTTTCATCAATTTCACTTGGTTGGGGAAGGAAATCGGAGAGGGGAAAAAATCTTAGTTGGCGGCGATTTCAGCAGAGTTTTCCCTCTTCCATTCGAGCGAACCAAAGCGGCACAAAGAAATGGACGGAAATAAAAAAGCTGACGTGGAGGGCTAAAAATCTGACGTGGAGGGGTTTTCTGAGTTTTCCACCCCTTATAATAGCGAACCAAACAGCCCCTAAGAAGAAATTATTTTGTATACACTAGCAAAAAAATGAACATCCTAGTTGGATCTAGGATGGCTAGAAATCCGTCTAGGATGTCCTAGACAACAATCTATCTAGGAAAGTCCATCTAGAAGGAATTCTTCCAGGATGCCTCATCCTAGATGGATTTGCCGTCTAGGATGCAAGTCCATCGATGATGCAAATCCTACACGAGAAATCCATTTAGGATGCCTTTGACATCCTAGATGGACAATTAGTCTAGGATGAGCACGAATTGTCCGTCTAGAATGTCATTTTGAAAACAAAAAAAAAAGATTGAATATGCTTTATTTAAGCCCCAGTAACCTGCTGTCATTTTACACTAATGCTCATTCGTGTATTTAAGTCTAAAGCCGTACAAGTGCAATGAATTGCTAGAGAAAGGGCATAAGCAAATTTGTGACATTTTTAGCCAATGAAATATCATATAACAACGTATACCGCACAAAAAACTACATAACATACCTAATTCACAATAATTTCATAAAATGGCACATACAACTGCCATTGTTCAATAGATAAATAAATCTCGTAAAAGAATCACGACACAGAAAACTCAAGAAATACAAAAATCTTATAAGATGACAATTTCCTATTCATGTCGAGATGCTTTCGAAGTTCGTTTAGTGTCTCCAATATGTAAGCACAAAGCGAAAAAAAATTTATGAGAGGACGTGGTCATAACTGTAAGCACGGTAAGTTTTAATAAATCAGTAGTTAGAAGCATAATGTTCTCTTTACCATCTAAGATGGTCACTTTTCTACTAGTGATATTAAGTTGGCCACGTGGAAGGCATAGGAAGGATATAAGTAAAAGGTATTTTAAGGTTGACAATCACAAAATTTTGAATTTGGAACTGTCACATACTATCAATTAGGTTGATAGAACAGAGCATAGCTCTCTCTAGATCTACTCACACTTGCTATTTTAGTCCCCAACATAAAGTAACATCTGTGTGTAACGTAAGGCTGTCCATCCGGGCCGGCCCGGCCCGGCCCGGGCCGGGAAACCAGGCCCGGGCTGGGCAAAACCCAAGCCCGGACCCGGGCCCGGGTGGTCCGGGCCGGGCCCGGGCCCGGGCCTGAGCGGGCCGGACACCGGGCCGGCCCGGTTTGTTTTTTTTATAATTTTTTTTTATTTTTTTTTTATTTTTTTAAAATTTTAACAAAACCATAAATCATAAATTATTATAAAAAATATCATAAATTTAATTAATAACTTGAAATGAAATGACATAAATTACAAGTACAAAAAATGATAAAAATAACTTCTTTATTAATAATCGGTAAATCCTTTACAAGTATAAATTTATTTCGAAATTCGTCGCATCACAATAGATGAGTACATCCCAACTAGGTTGGCACCTACTCACCCATATCACTATCATTTGCAACTTTTTTCGAAATAATTTAATTCAAATTTAAAGCTAAGAAATAAAAATTACAATTTTATGAATATTATCTAATCATTATATCTATCTGCTAGTCCCAACTCTTCAAATTTATCTTCAATCATAGCAATCCGTTCGATGCCTTGTGTTCGCTTCTCGTATCTCCACCAATCCTGTAAGCACATCACCGCTTGTACAGTATACGGATCTAAGCATGTCCTGTGGTCGTCGATCAAACGTCCTGCTGTGCTGAAAGCGGATTCCGAGGCTACAGTCGAAACCTGCACTGATAGTAAGTCACGAACCATGGTGGAAAGTATAGGAAATGAAACTGATCCATATACTTTCCACCATTGCAAAATATCTAAAGCATTTCCTTGACGTTTAACTAAGGAAACAGATAAATATTCATCTATTTCAGAAACCTCTAATCCTGATGAAGTTCCAGATCCACCAGTTAGTTCAGCTACCATTGCATACCTATCAAAACTTACACTTTTACCTCGACCTGTGCTCGAAGCTGAAGGTGCCGAAGCTGAAGACTGTTGTGTAGCTACACCATATCTAGCTGCATACTCATCATATAAGGTTTGAAAATAATTTCTAATAGCTAAATAATGAGTAGTAGCAGTAAGGGTGGATCCATCATCTAAGTCTATAATCTGTCCACCATACAATGATTGTAACAAACTTCGAAGGCCAATATCCTTCAAGCATGGATCAATAAGAACACCAATACCAAAAATATGAGGAATAGGCCTAAAATACTTATTAAATTTACTCTCCATTTGAAAAATTATATTTCCAAAAATATCATCCATACGATATTTTGTAAATTTTTTTTGAATATTTAAAATTTGTAAAGCAGCTAAAGTAATAGTTGGATAATAACAACCAGATAATAACATAGTAGCATCATAAAAAACTTGTAACATCTCATTTAATTTACATATAACTGTCCATTCATCTTCAGTTATTCCATAAGCACTACCAGAGCTAGAACTAGAAGCATAAAAATTTATAAAATCATTTATAATTTCTTTATATTCTATTGCTACAGATAACATTGCATAGGTGGAATTCCACCTATGGTCAACATCTTTTGGAATTAGTCTAGGCTTATAATTTTTTCTTTTACAACATTGTTTCCATCTTTTAATTCTCATTTCAGAAGCATTATGCATATTAGTAACTGTTCTAACTTTTTCTATCATGGGTTTAATTTCAGAAAATGCACTTTGAACAATTAAATTTAAAATATGACAGATACATCTAACATGAAAAAGCTCACCATGACATGGCAATGACAAAGTTATTTTCAGAAAATCAACAGCTACATTATTATTACTTGCATTATCTAGTGAAAGAGTAAATATTCTTTGATCAATTTCTAGTTTCATAAGTTCTTCAACAATTAAATTTGCAACATTAATACCAGTGTGTGACTCTTCAATTGCAATAAAAGAAACAACTCTTTTAAACATTTTCCAACTTTCATCAATCCAGTGTGCTGTTATACATAAATAACCAGTTTGCACTCTAGATGACCAAATATCAGAAGTTAAAGAAAATTTGCAGTTTAAATTTTTAAAATAAGAAATTATTTTTCCCTGTTCCTCAACATAATATTTTAAAATATCACGTTGACAGGTTTGACGAGAAAATTTTGTAAATGCAGGATAAAAACCATCTCTAAACAAATCTTCAAATTCATCATCTTCTACTAATTTAAAAGGAAGGTTTTTAAGAACAATAAACCTGATTACGCATTTCCGGGCTCGGGCAGCGTCATAATTCCAACTGCCGAGGGTACCTGAAGAGGATGATTGGGAAAGCATAGACTGCCGGATATCACCTTGTAGATTTTGGCCTTTGTTGTGTTTTTCAATATGCCGTTTGAGATGGTTGGTGCCGCTCTTATGATGAGCTTTGAATATCTGGCCGCACAACGCACATTTCGCATTCTGAGAGATGATCCTACCGTGTTCATCCTTGGTGACGTCTATCTTCTCAAAAAAATTCCATACATCAGACCTCGGCCTTTTTGGAGCTCTTGGTGCCGTAGATTCGTCGCCACCAGATTCAGGATTAACACCGGTAGGATGAGGAGTTGTTGTAGGAGGACTCATCTCTGGATCGGTAGGAGTTGCATGTTGCTCTTCATAATCAGACCCAGAAGCCATTTGTTGGAAGTATTAGAAAATACAAAAGATTATAGGATAGTATATTAGTATGAGATAGTATAAGATTGTATAAGAGAGTAGTAGAGAGAGAAATAGATGAGTTTTGTTGTGAGAAAATGAATTGAAACCCCCCCTCTATTTATAGAAGCAGCCCCCTAGGTAAATGACCAAAAAACCCTCGAAACGGGCCGGGCTGGCCCGGCCCGGCCCGGATTCAACGGTCACATAAGTGACCGTTGTGGCCGGGCCGGGCCGGGCCGGTCCGGCCCGGCCCGGCCATTCGAAGAACCAGTGCCCATTTTTGGGCACTGGTCCGGGCCCGGGCCCGGGCCCGGACCCGGGTTTTGCCCGGGTTTCCGGGCCCGGGCCGGGCCCGGGCCGGACTCCGGGCTTTTTGGACACCCCTAGTGTAACGAGTGCTATTAGTTTCGAGTCCGTAGTCTGAACAGAAAACCACGCTCAGGTAGCCCGGACCCGGGTTTTGCCCGGGTTTCCGGGCCCGGGCCGGGCCCGGGCCGGACTCCGGGCTTTTTGGACACCCCTAGTGTAACGAGTGCTATTAGTTTCGAGTCCGTAGTCTGAACAGAAAACCACGCTCAGGTAGTGTGCGCTTAGCCAGAGAGAAAAGGTCAAATCATTGGTTAGCAAAGAACATATATATCAATAGAGGATATCAATACAAATATTCTAAATCTTCAAAGAAAAAATGGAGAAATTAAATCTTTGAGTACAAATGGTATTCAAAGAAAAAATAAAAGTCCAAACCATACTAATGAAGGATCCAATCGGATGTAGCATTAGACAAATCATTTAAACATGATGATGAATACGAAGGGTTAAAAATACATCCTTCAACCCGAAACCTTTAATCATTCGAATAGGATTATGTTAAGGCAAC